ATGAAACATAGAACCACTAGGGCAATGGATACGAATCACTATGGCAATGGATACGAACCACAGAACCACTAGGGCAATGGATACGAACCACTATGGCAATGGATACGAACCACAGAACCACTAGGGCAATGGATACGAACCACAGAACCACTAGGGCAATGGATACGAACCACAGAACCACTAGGGCAATGGATACAAACCATAGAACCACTAGGCCATGCTGACCCACTTCCAAGATGGACTGCTCTTGATATATCACTGATTGTTTCAAATGACAAAATGTAAATCATTTTGTACCGCTTTTTCCTTTTTTTAAGACGTATACATTTACCCAAGAATTAACTTCACATACAGGATAGCTATTTTGGTATCAGTACTTATCACAGCTATAAAACAGCTTCTCTGTCTTTCTCTCTTACCTGCTGTGGCCTGATCTGACTAGTCAGATTTACCCCACGTGGGTCCTCCCTGTTGGCAGGGGCTGGAACACGCGAGTCAAAAAGATTTCTCTGATCCACATCGCCTCTAGAAAGCCGAGGATCGTAAGGAATGGTGGTGGCAGTGGATGTAAAATTAGGTCCCCCTATTCCCCCTCTATTGCGAGAATCAAAGGATGGCTGATTCTCACTAATGTTCCGAGAAGGAGACATACGTCTAAGGTCTTGATCTCCAATTGGCTGTCGCATGTCCCGGTCTACCAGCTGCTGTCGCATGTCCCGGTCTCCCATTGGCTGACGCAGATCACGGTCTCCCATGTGATCTATTCTGGATTCAAATATCTCATGCCCTAGAATAATAAATACTTCTATTTATATAAACTGTCGACATAAAGAAATACTTGAAACATTTTAAAGAGTCTTCTGGTACCGAATAATAACGAAACTTCTACTCAGTTTTGGAGAAAGTGGCAAACGTAGAGTGTAAAAATAAAGTAAACACAAACTCACACACCAGCCTAAATCCAAAGCCGTGGATAAGAATGGAATGAACAATAATATTTAACGGTAAAACTTAATTCACCTTCTTGTCCTACTTAATAAACACATTCATTTGTCCTTACACATAAAAAAAAAACGTCTTTTAAGAATACACTGATGAAAAGGTCTTTACCAACCTTGAGGTAAACAATATATCGATAAACTTTATTCTCTCTCTAAAATAAATTTACCATTTTTTTTGTGTACAATATAATATAAAAAAGTGTAAAATTATTTTGAACGATTTAACTTCATAAATATAAAACAAATCTGTAACCACGACCAACCTCTGTTGTTATAACTCATTTTAAGAAATATCTGAGCCAAAATAGTGATGTTTACTTACTTCAGATACACAACACTTGCTGATTTTACAAAAAACGTTCAGATTCAGAGGTTGAAATACGCTAAATACACAACTGAAGTAATAGACCATGAACTATTTAATGTCGACTGGCAAGGGGTTTGATCGTACTCCTGTAATCAAGTCTTCATACTACACACAAATGTTTTATTTCAAATTTTGTTCGGAATACATTTTTTTCACAAAGTAACCGACAACTTTCCATCGTGATAATGCGAATGTAGTTAAATTTAATAGATGTTAAATGAATGAAAGGTACATTTATGCAGGTAGCTTATATTAAAATGGGAGAATCTGTTTAAGTTTTTACTTTACAGTAAAATTTGGATGTATTTCTTTGAATTTTTTTAAATATCAGATCTGTACATGTATTAAAGGTCAAGATGATACTTAAGTATAGCAGTTGCTGGTCTATTATGATAGCACAATTAGACTGTTTTGTTTAAATATAAATTGCGACACATCAAACCCAAGACAAAATTTGTTACGGTTTGCTTTGAATTTCTTAAATCTCTTTAATCTCAGTGAATAAGCAATTTTTTCTTTTCTTCATAATCAGAAAAATAATACATTATCATCTGTGTCATCACACTTAACAACTTTCAGAATCACCTGATGACAGTGTCAGACCTGCCGAGTCAATGTTATTTGAATTTTACACTACACGATATCCAGTATCACAATAGTTGACAATAAAGGTTTAAATTAAATTAAATATAATTTTTTTTTATAAAAGGATTATCATCTCTAATATTAAATACAGGAAACCATAGTCAATGACACCCCCCCCTCCACATTAAAGTTCTAAATTATTGTGTTAATTACTGACCATCATTATACTCACCCCGATTCTCTGAGTAGTTTCCATCCATCACTGGAGGTCGATCACCGAGAAGAGAGGCACGAGGCCTATTTCCAACAGCAAGAGGGGCTGGCTGGGGCTGCTGCTGTTGCTGCACAGAGCCTCGTGTATCTATAAGAATTAAACAGAAAACTCTTTAACAAGACGTGCGAGAGGTTTCCGTAGTCTACTTGGAATGAAATCGAATATATATATATACCAAATTCACAGATCTCTCTACTGTAACTGTATCTTAACTACACCACAGTGACTATGAAACCTATCTCGTAACAACATTCTACCAATTTTTAACACATTACAGTCTACGTACATATTTAAAGCATACAACCATAAATCCAAATACTGTCTAGGCAGTAGTATGGAATCACTGTCCACCGATACAATAAAATACGGTAAAAAGTTATTAATTTGATTGTAACGTACTACAATAATGATAACCACTGTCTAGGCAGTAGTATGGATACAATAAAATACGGTAAAAAGTTATTAATTTGATTGTAACGTACTACAATAATGATAACCACTGTCTAGGCAGTAGTATGGAATCACTGTCCACCGATACAATAAAATACGGTAAAAAGTTATTAATTTGATTGTAACGTACTACAATAATGATAACCACAAGGTAGGTCAATTATTTTCGTAACAATGAGGATATCTTGTAATATCATCTCCTAAACAATATATCATAGAAACCTTCTAAAAAGTTTGAGTTTATATATTAACTAGGCAGTCTGTTTTAATTACTAGATTTTTTGCTGACAATGATCTGATATGACAAGATTTTCTGTTCTTCATAGTAAATATTAAATAACGGAAACAGTTCTCAAAAACTTCATTAAATGTCCAAACTCCATACCAAAAAAAGTAAAAAAAACAGCCAATACGATTTCCTTACCCTTAAAATATATATCAGTTCATAGTATCACGAGACCTAACAAATACAAACAAGTCTACTAAAGAGTCTCGGAGTGAAGGGAAACCCTTCGTAAAATTACTTTTTATAAACAATTATCATAATTTCTTATAATTATATATTATAATGTCTACAGTATGTGAGAAAGAATATATAACTTTTTCACTGCTGGATCAGTCTTTAGAGCAGTTTTACTTAAACCTAATTAGAAACCTTCACAGAGGATGGAGGAAAGAATGAAACAATGTAACATATCCATTCTCCTATTACGTACCAATGGGTGGTCTGATCCCATAACTCTGATCTCCAAATGAGGCAGCAGGAGGTAGTACAGAGACATGTGCGTCTTTGTTAACGCCAACACCGTAAGTGGACTGACTGCTTACTGGCGTCGAGTTCTTCATAAAAATTTATTGTTCAAAATTAACTAAGAGAAACATTGTTTTTTATATTACAAAAACATTTTTAAATTTACGAAGAAATATTAAAAGAATAATTAACAAAATGAACAAGTAACCAGTACTTAGTTAATTTAACCACAACTTTTGTTCGCTTACTTTTATAGTAAAAACTATATAACCTGGCCATGAACACACAATATTAACATCAATGAGTAAACTATTTAACTGGGCTATGAACTCACAATATTAACATCAATGAGTAAACTATTTAACCGGGCCATGAACACACAATATTAACATCAATGAGAAAACTATATAACCTGGCCATGAACACACAATATTAACATCAATAAGAAAAACTATATAACCTGGCCACAAACACACAATATTAACATCAATGGGAAAACTATATAACCTGGCTATGAACACACAATATTAACATCAATGGGAAAACTATATAACCTGGCCATGAACACACAATATGAACATCAATGAGTAAACTATTTAACCGGGCTATGAATTCACAATATTAACATCAATGAGAAAACTATATAAGCTGGCCATGAACACACAATATTAACATCAATGAGTAAACTATTTAACCGGGCTATGAACATACAATATTAACATCAATGGGAAAACTATATAACCTGGCCATAAACACACAATATTAACATCAATGGGAAAACTATATAACCTGGCCATAAACACACAATATTAACATCAATGATAAAAACTATATAACCTGGCTATGAACACACAATATTAACATCAATGAGTAAACTATTTAACCGGGCCATGAACACACAATATGAACATCAATGAGAAAAACTATGTAACCTGGCCATGAACACACAATATGAACATCAATGAGAAAAACTATATAACCTGGCC